ATTTATATAGCGCATATCTATTTGGTGCTCCTTTGTACCAATGTTCATGTATTCAAACAAATAAATCTAAATCATTATGAGTTCCAGTATTTGTTCATACATACAATTTTACTCGGATTTTTCAAAATATAATCCCTTTTATTATCACATGTATTATGTTCGTTAAACTTGAATGCTACTACTGATTCGTCTTACTCGGAACGGAACGAAGAATCAAGGATTCAGAGACTCGATAGGCTATACTGGTTCGTTGTTCCCGACTCAGCTAACTCGATCCAGAACTCTTGGCAAGATATAGAAAGTGTATTTTACAGACAACCAGAAATACCAGGTCCCTCAAGCACACAAATCAAGCGTATTTATACAAAATATATATAATCGATATTGCTATGGAATTTTTCAAACATTTAATCGATAAGTTCGTCAATCGACGATGTGCATGGGTGGTAAGAAATGCCCAAGCATACAAGCTGCACAAAGATAAAATTATAAAATATGAGTTTTGGTGATCTAACGTTCCCAACAACAGGCTAACATATTATTTTCATTTTATCATAATTAATATGGTTATAGCTAAAGTAACACAATAGATCTAATGTTAGGATACCCTGTATGTTGATTACTTATTATTGACTGAGATTATGAATAAACAATTGTTGAAAATGATGGATAGTGGCTAGCAGTGGAATCCAGTTTGATGCGCGTTTCGTCCTATTTAGGACTCATCAGCTAGATGTACCAGCATCACAGAGTTGAAGTTCACTCTGGGACTAGAACGCAGTACCGTTCTCTTCAAACGCCATCACTGTTTACAAAAAGCTTGTGAATTAAGGCAATATCGAGGCATACGCACAGTGTGCACATATGCCGATAATAGACTGATCAATTGCAGTCTTAAACCTCAATGGGAAGATACAAGCTAAATAATACCAAGTGAATTGTTGGAAATCACTATAGAATTAATGTGTACGTGAGGATGATAATCATTGATTGTTGGCTTAGTCAAACTTGTAAATAGTCTAACAGCTACTAGATGAGTTATATATTCTCTTAACCTTATTACTATTGTGATTGTTGACGGTTTTTTTGGTGTGCAAAATATATTTACATTCTAGTCAGTTTTATCCTCAAATACAACACGGAGAATACCAAACCAAACACACTTGATGGAGAAACTCTAGAAGATGTAAAATCCTTCACATACCTGGGAAGCATCATCGATCAATAAGGAGGATGTAAAGGCGAGGGTTGAAAAAGCAAGGGCCGCATTCTTACAATTGAACAACATATGGAACTCAGAACAACTTTCAACCAATATCAAAGTCACAATCTTCAATACAAATGTCAAGACAGTTCTGCTATACGAAGTTGAAACGTGGAGAACTACTACAACCATCATCAAGTCAGTCAGCTACAACGTTGGACCAGGCACATATATGCATCGGTCCAAGTTGCCATACCTCATTAACACAACAAGATGGACACAGGATTCAAATAAGTGGTTAATTCAGAGGTGGTAATATATAAAAGATTACAGTAAGGATATAGTACAAGAAGAAAGAATTAGTTCAAAGAAATAAAGATATGAAGCAATTTTAATCTCTTAGTTTAAGGGAAGACAGAGAGTGTGTACACCGACGCCATTGTGACCGATTCTGAGCCATATCACACACAGTCTCCAACGATTCGTTACGATAGTCACACCGACCCCAACCAAGTAGTCTGCATCTACCAACATGGCTCACACCACAAGTTAGTGACTTCAAGCACTGATGCCACGTTTTGGTTTGGCCGCCCCTAACTTTTTTCCAACCATCCCCAACATTAGTCAGCATTGCGCGTCGTGGTAATCGGTGTTCAGGCATACGTAACACGTGGTCTAACCATCTCAGTCGATCAAGATTTACAACCTCATCAACTGATTTACCATCATTTCCTAATACCCTGCGTCTAACCTCACTATTACTTACCCGGTGATCCCAGCAGACGCCAGCAATATTTCTAAGGCATCTGTGGTCAAATACTAGTAGCTTACGAGTATCTTCTACTCTTAAGGGCCATGTTTCGCTGCCGTAAAGTAAAACAGAACGAACAGCCGCGCAGTATACTCGTCCTTTTATTGATAGACGGATATCTCGCCTCCGCCAAAGGTGACGTAAGTTGGCAAAAGCCAAACGAGCTTTTCGAATCCGTGCTGAGATTTCGTCAGACACCAACCCATTAGGGCTGATCAGACTTCCAAGATAAGTGAAGTTGTCAACGCGTTCGACTACTTCACTCCCTATCCTTAGTTCAGGTGTTGACGCAGACCAGTCCTGAAGCAACAACTTGCATTTAGAGAGAGAGAAGCGCATTCCAAACATTCTGGCATTGTTGCTTAGTGCTACCAAAAACTCTGCATTTTGTCAGCGTCTTCACCAAACAGGACTATGTCATCTGCATATTCTAAGTCGATAAGTGGACCTCCTGGTAGGAGATCAATACCCGAGAATTCAGTCGACGAGAATGTTATTTCCATCAGTAGGTCTATGATGAAGTTAAACAAAAATGGAGAAAGTGGGCAGCCTTGACGGACACCACTTGAGGTTGCAAAAGTAGATGACAGTTCGCCATAAGCTCTGACTCGACTAGTAGTGTTCGAGTAAAGAGCCTTCACAAGGTTTATGTACTTCTGAGGTACGCCTTTCAATGACAGACACTGCCACAGAATCTCGCGGTCTACAGAGTCAAATGCTGCTTTTAAGTCAAGAAAGACCACCAATGTCGGACGCCGATAAGTATGCCTGTGTTCTAGAACCTGACGAATGGTGAATATGTGGTCGATGCAGCCACGACCAGGTCTGAAGCCAGCTTGATTCTCTCGTGTTTGCAGTTCACGAGTCTTAGTTAGGGGTCTGATAATTATCGAGGCTAGTATTTTAGATACTAATTAGTTAAACTAATCCTCTATGGTTGTCACAGGATGATTTTGACCCTCTCTTATATATTGGGACGATAAGTGATTGCACCAGTCAGATGGAATAACGTCTAATTCCCAGATCTTAGCTAAAATATTAGTCAACCTAATCGCTAAAATTGGACCACCATCCTTAAAGACTTCTGGAGCCAATCCATCTGGACCAGCTGCCCTTCCTCGTTTCAGATTAACTATAACCTTTCGAACTTCTGCTAGAGTTGGGGGACCTACTTCATCGTTGGTTTGGTGTAGGGGGTCGCCATGTTAGACGATGTCTCTCCTTATGCTTAAAATCTGTGTTTGCTAAAAATAAACGATTGTCTGAGCACAGTTGCAGCAGACGATCACCATTATCTGTTCGTTGTGTCGGAATACTAAAATACCCACCTAAATGCCTTTCTGTTTGGTTTAAACTACCTATCTGGACATTAAAGTCACCTGCTACGAGCACTATGTCTGAACGTTTAGCTTTCTGAAGAAGTTCAGATAGCTTTCTGTAAAATTCATCTTTCACTTCATCTGAGCTGCAGTCGGTGGGAGCGTAGGCAGAAACGACGAAAAGGCAACGACGTGTGTCCCTATCCTTCCGAGTTCTTACGTAGCCGTTCAGCCGAACAGCACATAAACGACTGTTGACGGGGATCCACTCTAGCAGTGCTTGTTCGGCCCTCATGCTTAGTGCTATGCCTACACCTGCCAGTCCACGAGAACTGACCATCGGGTCACCAGATACACGGAGGGTGTATCTCGTTGGCTCTCCGTCTTGCCGAGGTGAGGTCAAGTGAATGACCACACTGGAATCCTGTATGCGTGTTCCAGAGACACAGCCAAGGAAGCCTGCTGGCCGATTTGACATAGGGCGCGTAGGTTGAAGGCACCAATGTGTAGTTTGGAGCGAGGTTTCAGTAGACCTGGGACAGTGTTTTGCGCACTAGAATCGTTGGCTATGGTGACACTTGAGGGGGAAGCCGAAAGAGGAAGTTTAGAGTTCAAAGTCGATGTAGGAGCAATAACAGGAAGTGAAGACGGAGGTTGATTATGAATACAGTGGTCTTGAGTGCTGTTAGAGGTATGAGGGCGGTTATCACTTCCCGGTTGCCCACACCGTGGAAGGGTTGTTCTGGAGGTACCTGAAAAGGAAATTGGATTAGAGGTGGTCTCAGTGACCTGAGAGCGTGACCGCAGTGCCCAAGGGACAACTGCTTGAGATCGGTCACACACGACCTTTTTATGGGTAATTTTTGTGTTAGCTCCGTAATTGTTGAGACCTTACCGCCGGAGACAGATATCTGTGGGATAGAGCGAGGTGTGCATTTTTAGGGTCGACCTTTTCTAACCCCACCCCTCCTTGTGGGAAGGCAGCATCGCTGTCATGCTGGTTGTCTGAAGGAAACACCTTACTGCTGTCACACCTCTGTACAGTCAGCAGTACGACTTCGCCTTCGGACCTTGAGTTTGTTGCTTTTAGTCTTACCGCTCTTCAGCCGACCTGTCTGACATAGTAGGACCTTGAGGAACGGTTGTTCCAGCCAGTATAGCTCGGTTGCTTCATCACGATAGGCAAGCCCGACCACCACGTCAAGGTAGCAACAACGGTCAGGATCATCATCAAGAAGTTACAAGTATTTATAAATAGTTGTCTACGCAAGATAATCAACATCCATTGGCCGGATCTATCAGCAACAGCCCGCTGTGAGAGAGAGCAAACCAGCTTCTAGCCGAAGAGGAAATTAGGAAAGACATTGGAAGTAAATAGGATATACATTACGGTAATCATCAAACTGCATCACCAGGCAAGCCCTAACTAGGAATCCTGAATGGAAGCAGAAAAGAGGAAGGCCAAAGGACACGTTACGTCGGAAATAGAAGTAGATATGAAAAAGATGAATAATAACTGGAAAAGATTACCCAGGACAGGGTTGGATGGAGAATGCTTGTGTGCGGCGGCTTATGCTCCTCCACAAGTAGTAAGTAAGTAAGTCTTATCACATATTCTTGATTTAAGTTACATTAAAGTCCTATAGCATAGATACCAAATAAACTATTTAATGTAGATATTCATCTATTAACATTCTATTCGTGTAGACAAAGAATCCCAACCGTTATATAACAAGAATAACAACAAAGAAATCAATAATAATTAAAACAAAACAAAAATTTAATTGTTACTCTGCAAAAATATTTACCAAAGAGCAATATAACGTATAAACTTTTATAATATATAGTTTCTATTGATATATATGTATGTACAATTAGTGTGTATAAGGGGGATGTTTATCCTTCCATTGGTCCCCCCCCCCAACTCAACCAATCAAATAGTAGCCACAAAAATCAACACACACACAAAAACAGCATAGTGATTAATAATTTTTTTTTCTTTTACATTATTCAATCATATACACAATGTATTAACATGAAAGAAATTATGAATGAAATAATAACAAACAGTAAACTATTTATTCACAATACATATAAAACATGTTATAGAATACAAATGATCATTATATTCAATGTGTAAAGAATAAAAAGAAGAGAGAAGAAAAGCAGAAAGAAAAGAATTTTTTAAAAAAAAAGAAATAATAACGATAAACTGTACTAGTGATTGTTTGTTTTTTTTTCTCTTTTCTTTTTCGTACAAATAATGAAAAAAATGAAAGGAATGAGGTGTCATAAAGAGAGAAAGAGAGGGGAGGTGAAAAAAATCAATTATCAATCCGCTGTCAAATTATGAATCAAATATATGTATATATATTTGTGTTTTCCCATTCACGTACATGACACACACACACACACAAAAGGGGAGGGGGAGAAACAGAGATAATTTCAAGGGATATATATATATATATATATATATATATATATATTGTCAATAATGATAACTGGGATGGGTAATCAACAAGTGAATAGATTAATTTCTATCTCATTCTCATAAATATATATATTTAAATGTACGGTCTATAAAAAGTAGGGGATCACAGAATAAAGGTTTCATATATTATCTACACGCATGTTTACATATATATGTATATATGTATGAATGTAAAACAATTCGGGGGGGGGAGGGAGTGGAGAGGAAAAAAAGAGGAAGAAGACATGATTGATTGTACAATTTCTTTTTAACAAAAATGTACAGAAATAGTATGATGTAATGCAAAAAAAAGTAAGAAGTAAAAAAAAAAGAGAAAACTTTTCATTTCCTTTTAAATATAAACGACATAGTAACAATGCAGAAGACCAGATGATACTTAGCAACTAATTGATTATAAAGAAAATAGTATACACAATAAGGATATTGAATAAAATGATTTATTTTTGATAATTATTCATTGATGGTGATAATGAACGTGGTGATTTATTATATTTTGGTGATAATAAATGACTTACATTAGATGTTGTAATATTATTGGTAACATTCACTATTGGTCCAATTAATTTCTTACGAAATGAAGATTGAAAATCAGATTTTTGATTAGTAATTGTTAAAGTACCTGATGTTGACATTGACGTTGTCGTCATCGATGTTGTTGTAGTAGTACTAGATAAAGAAGTAGGACCTAATGAACCAGCACGTATACTACGATATAATGATTTCATTGAATTCATATGTACAATATTATGATTATGATTAATAGTAGTATTATGATTATCTATTATATTTGTTTGTTCATTAGTTTGTTGTAATTCTTTTAAATATTGACGTAAATACATTAATTGTTCAATCCATAATTTACATATAGCTGAATTAGACATTCTTATATAACGTACATTTGTAGCATTATGACATGAGACAAATTTTTCATGTTTATCAATATGATCAATATGTATACGCATACGACATTGTAAACATTCTAATGCTTTTGGTGGATTTAATAAATCGGAACAATTTTTATGACATATATCACATAATACATTACCTAAATGAAAACGCATTAATTGAAAATTATGATTCATCCATTGTATTGTATTACTATTATTGTTATTAGTAGTACTATTAGTAGTATTACTACTACTACTAAGAGTAGTAATATCTTGATTGGATTTACTTGATAATTTCAATAAAGATTGATGGTGTTGTTGTTGTTGTTGTTGCTGTGGTTGTTGTTGTTGTTGTGATGGTGGTGGTAGTGGTAGTGCTATTGATGATGTAATACTTGAATCATATAAATCAATATTATCATTATCATCATTATTTATAATATTAGCTTCATAGATATGATGTTGAATTTTTGTTGGATTTTGATAAAATAATTGAATAGTTCTATTTAAATCTTCTTTTTTTGCATGAATTAAATCTAATTCAGTTGCTTCACGTACATGCATAATCTAAATATAATATGTAACAAGAAAAAAAAAAGAATGAATGAAAATTACAGAATAAATCGATTGAAGTTAGACCACTATAGAAAACCTATCCTCTGCCAGGGAAGTCCTACTCACTGCATTCTCGTGGTGGGGGTCAGTCAGTCAGTCAGTAACAACGTAGAACTTCGTACGTACGTACATCAGTTCGAGTTACCATACCACATTAGTACAGAGATGCAGTGGCCGATTCAAATCCCGTAGTGGTAGAGGTAATAAGAGTATAAGCAGTAGTCGGGAAGATTAGTGTTTGGACATGTTACTTAAAGAGTATAATACAGTGAAATAAATTTGAGAGGAGAGGTGGGGGTGTTGTTTACGAAATTGAGAGGACAAAAAGCGAATGTCTGGCGCTTTAACAGGGACGGTGGACATGGAGGGTCCATATAGGGGAGTTGGAAAACGCTGATTCCAAACCAATGGTGTACATGGGCTCCAGTATCTTAAAGGAACAAATGGTGTATGAACCAATCGTTGGTCACCGGCTTCCATGGGACTGCATCTCTTAGCCTTGCTCCACTGCCATGTGGATCAGACCTTTGGTTCGAAGGCTCTGAGTGTGGCCCCTTAAGAAAACCACCTGATTCGGTTTGAGCACCCGGGCAGTATCACAGCCCTCACACATATCGAATGAGATTTGTGTGGCGCATACGTATTTGGTGCCTCCTTGTACCAATATCTATGTGTTAAAATAAATAAATAAAATTGAAAACCTGGAAGCACTAGATAGCAGTTTCGTCCTATTGTGGGACTCTTTAGTTGTGTATATCCACAATCATGAACACGGGAATCAAACCAAGAACCTTTGATCTCATACACAAATTCCTAATCTCTAGGTCATAGAACAGAGACCTAACCAAGGGTTTTCAGTTCGACTCCCGGACGCAAGGTCGTGGTACGCATTGTTGAGCTTCATAATAGGATGAAATGGCTGTCTAGTGCCTCCAGATTACCAGCGGTGGTTTAGCTGACGTCACTTCTGTAAAAATTTATAGTAAAGACCAAAACATTTGAGACACAGTGCCATTCACTTACAAAATCACTAGAAATCAAAAGTATTAATTTTGAGACAAATGTCAGAAGTCTCAGCAGTCAGTCAATCAGTCAGTAACAACGTAGAACTTCGCACGTACGTACGTACATACATCAGTTCAAGTTGCCATACCACATTAACACACAGATACAATTGTCAATCCAAATCCAAAAGTGGTAGAAATAGTAAAAGTATAAGCAGTAATCGGAAACATTAGGGTTTGAAGTTGTTATTAAAGGAGTATAATGCAGTGTAGTAAATTTGAAAAGGAAAAAAAAGAAAAGGACATGAAGAATTCAGAAGATTATAATTTGGGAGAACAAAAAGAGTGGATGCACCTGCGCCATTGTGAACGATTTTGAGCCATTTGTCATTCAAGGTCTCGAACCATCGCTTGCTATCGTTTTGCGGATTACAACCGAGTAGTCTACACCCACCAACATGACTCAGTCCATTTGTCAGTAACTTCGTGGATTTGTTCCATGTTTTGGTCTGACTGTCCCTGGCTCTCTTCTAACCTACTCCTACACTATAAAACATCGCTCGTCGAGGTAGTCGGTGGTTGGGTATACGTAACATGTGTCCCAGCCATCTCATCTGATGAAGGCAACCAGATATATATGATATTACCACCCAGCGATTAATAGATTCTAAATACATCACAGTTCTATAGGAGGTCAGTCACGGTCTGAATAGCTCACTGGTAACGTGTCTGTAACTGTGAAGTTGGGTGGCATGGGACCGAATCCATCAAGGAATATCGGTCCCCTGAAGACTACAGATACAATTTGCTGACGAGTGCCAAATAGCACAGAACCTAGGTCCAGGGTTTGATGTTGACTATCTCCAACCACTATCTTATCTCAAAATAGTGCACACAATGTCCAGTCATCTAGACTAGTGACCACATTGCAACTTGATCGATAGCATTCGATCTGCACTAAGAAGAACCTAACAAACATGACACTGATCACCAATTAATTGTGAATGATATGATATGTTAAAGTGGTTTGATGGTAATTGGTAGGAAAATCTATACAGAGGTTACAAGTTTATTGATAGTCGGTCTGAGCCTATATATATCTGCAATCTTGTAGAAACTAATCATCTCAGTAAGATTTCAATTCCAGTTACTTAACTTAATAGTCTGAGATATGATCATTGAGCTGTGAGAAATGTAAGCGCTGACGAGTGCCAAATAACAGGAAAGCTAGATCAAATAGATTTCCTCACTATATATACTATGCAATTTCAGAAGAATGTGATCAGCATTAAAGGACTAGATAACTATTATACTGATTACTATTTAGTGATTGGTCAGTGATCTTCAGTGCTGTTAGAGGTATGAAAGAAGTTAACACTTCCCGATTTCCCATACTGTGGAAGTAGTAATCGATCAATCAAACACTATAATAATTTTTAACAAAAATGTAATTTAGATATGTAGTTTGTAGAGTTTTATTTTAAATATATCTCCTACGGTTATATAGAATTTACTCATTGTTTGAATAAACAATCAACTATTTCATAAACATCACATATGATGGGGGTCACATTGGTGATTTTGTCAGTGACTAATGTATCAAGGGATGATGATGATGATGATGTAACCTTTCAAATAACTAGAGTATTCAACTCAATAAGCTATTTGATTTTATATGATAATAACTTCATGAGCATTAGATCATGAGCGAAACAGATAATCAAAGTCTTCATTCGGTTTCACTATTACAAGAATTAGCAGAGTTATGTGTACTTACTGTAGAGAAGTTATTTATGGAATCGATTTTACAAAACAAAACAAAAAATAAAACTCAGAGTTGACAGGTGGTTGCTTCTCAGTGTTCTCAAGGGTTATTATCATTGGGAAATTGTAAGGCTAACATTAATGTGTTTGACTGTCGTGTAAGCGGAATAGATCAACTTTGGCCTGTTAGTGATGTGCAAAATTGATAGGAATAATTATATATGTGATGTGAATGTGAATGGTCTACCAGGGTGCTTGGTACCTGTGTGGTTGAGCCACAGGATTGAGTTGTACTATTCAGATTGTAGTGTTAAAGCCTATATGGTGTCTGGGCTCTCCTGTTAAGCGGGATTGAGCTGTACTGTTTGGGTTGTCAAGTAAAAATCTGGGTGGTGTCTGGTTCTCCTGAAAACCAATGTAAAATTACCCTGACCCACAAGTGTATATTATATAACTGTGAGAGTTGACTATAAACAATTGAGAATTGAAGATTTATGTGTTAAATTCTAATGTATATGTAGGGATTCAATAGTTATTATGATCGATAATCCAATTCAATGACATATACAAGTTCATAATACCCAGTTAACTCAACGGATATAGGGAAGAGGAGAAGAAGTTGATTTATCAATAAAAATGAACCATAAGATCACGTATATTGATAAGTTACCAAATGACAACATATGGTAGATGACTTTAGTTACGTGAATACTTCACTTAATTACATTAGCCTGCACAAACTTTCAGTTGAATCACCAAAATACCTTGAAATGTGGTGTGATTTATCTATTTGTATTGTACGAGGAAGGTAAGTTTATAAAAATTTATATACACCTAGTACTCAACCTTCCATTTGTATCTATTGTGTTCTGCAAACCAATCTGGTATTAGATTATGTTCTATAGCTTCTCTTCTGGTTTCACAAGTATACAGTAACAACGTAGAACTTCGTACGCATGTACATCAGTTCGAATTGCCATGCAACATTTCACAAGCATTTCGAACTCGCTATACTTTTGGCTTCCTGAAACTTCTGTTTTCGGCTATCCAATAATTTAAACACATGAACATTGATACAAATAGATATGCGCCACAAAAATCATTCGATTTATGTGAGGGTTGGGATACTGGCCGGGTGCCGAAACTGAAATAGGTGGTTTTTCTTAGGGGGCCACACCCGGAGCCATTGACCTAGAAGTCTGATCTAAAGGCAGTGTAGCAACGTTAGGAGATGCAGTCACATGGTAACCGGTCACCAACAATAGGTTCATACCCCATTTGTTCTCTCAGGATACTGGAGCCCATGTGCACCATAAAATGCATCTTCTATGCAACATGTAACAGTCAATCCAATTGTAACAGATAAATAGATCATTACTTGCTCAATTTTTTTTTATTGATTTATAGGTAGCATTGGTTGGATTGATTTCAATTGGAATGCATTTGAAAACTAAAGAGTACTGGATAATTGTTTCGTCACAGTATGGAATTTTTTAACAGTAGACACCCATGACCATATCATAGATTGAATCTAGAGTCTATTAAGTGGCCACTGCTGAAAAGTTCCATATTGTGACGAAACACTTATGAAGTGCTCTCTGATTTCAAAGGTATTCCAATTGAAATTGGTCTATGACGAAAATTACCTATAAACTGAATCAATTTCCACAGATCCACTCCAACTAAGGTTTCTTTGATAGTTGAACATGGAAGTATGACTACACAATTTTGTTTACAAGTTTCTAGTTAGGGAATAATAAAAAAAAACTGATCAAAACCCCATAATCTTTGATTCTTATTAACTTATGATAGGGATAGAACAAACCAGATACCAACGGGAGTGAATAGAACACACATTGAGGAAAGCACACAATTGAATCACAATGAAAGCCCTCACTTGAAACACAGTATGTCGAGAAATCGACACAGATATAAAAGAATGAACAACAATTGAATAGAACTAGAAAGAGAAACTTAAGACAAAGTGGGTTGGAGAATGCTGATAGGCAGCCTATGTTCCATGGGGGCGGGGTAACAGGCGTAAGTAAGTAGGTATGATAGAAATTGAACAATGTAAAATAGATAACCAATTCATGAAATGTAGAATAAAACCTAGACAGTAAAATTTGAATAATACATTTATTGAATTCCAATTATTAAAGTATGTACATACATATACATTAT